CTTAGAAGTCTCGGGGCAGAATAGAAACCGATTAAGCGAAACAACCGACTGACAGCACCTGTTGATACTTCGCCTAGCTCGCTGGCGAAGGTGCAGACTAACAGACATACACGCGGCCGCATCCCGGTGTGTAAGTGTCGGCGTGTGTATATATATACACACACACACACACACACACGTTGTTTGCGCACCCGTGGCCGACGTCCGGTGTCGTCGCGGTTCCGCGAGGGGCAAACGAGAACCACCACGAAGGGGACCGACTCCCAACCGAAGGTGCGTCGTCCCGGCACTAAGAGATTCGATTTGAGCAACGCGCCGCTAAATTGAATCGGGTCTCAGATCCTGTTAATATTCGAGTTACGAGCGCTATTACCCTTTGTTCATGCGATTCAGCGCGTTACGCGCTTACTCTCTACGTCTAAAACTCACGCGCATCACACGCATCCGTAAACTATTTACGGACGGTCGGATGTGTGCCGGTCGCCTTCCTACGGTTTCTCCAGTTTCGCCGGAGAATTAGAGTCTCTCTAGAAGAAACGACCGCGGTCGTATCCACCACGTAATCTCTGCGAATTGCCTTTGCACAACGAATCTTGCGTAATAATGCGTTTGACGCACGGAGTATTCCTGTTTTTTTTCTTTTTTTTTTTTCCTTATCGAGAAACTCGCTACTTTCTTATCAAAAATATCGGAAAACCAAACCGCGTGCACGTTACGTATGATTAAAGGAGGAAAAAGTTTTGGAAGTTGCAAGGTGCACGATGTTGTCTAATAAACAAAACAAAATCTCCCTTCTCTCATTTGCGTAATCCAATTAATTTTCAAATCAGCCTTGTCTCAATGGAATCTTAGCTGGGATGCTTACTCGCAGAGATATTCAACGTTCAAAACTTGAGACTTCGAAATCCCTCTGTGCATCGTCGGAGCTAATTAATCCCGCGTAAAGCAATTCACGGCAAATTAATTCAAACGACCGTGGAAGCTGCGATTACAGCGATAACCGAAAATTTTCGTTCTCTCTTTCGGAAGGAATTAGAGCAGAGGAAATTAGTTCGATTGAGTTGCTTGGGCGTATCGTGTGTGGGCGAGTCTTTCGGCATACGTCCATAACAAGATATAATGTCATAAACAACGCCCGATATTGCGAGCAATACCATTGAATCCTGTCGAAACTAATCGCGTGAGCCAAATGCAGTTCACTCCTGAAATCCCCTTTGTACAATCATGACGATTGCATGCGGAATATTTTTCTTGATAGGCCGCGGAATCCAATAATATCTCCATGTTTCGTTAATTAAAATATAATATATATTCTCCAATATACATATACATATTCTCGAGAGAGAGAGAGGGAGAGATACTGTTCCGATATCAATTACGTGATTATGATACATGAAATCAATCTACAAGTTTTCATTATAATTTTAATACGGCTTTATTTTTGAACGTACGTATATATGAAAGAAATCGGCAAAAACTTTATGCTCTAAATCCAATTGATTTTTCCTTCGGCTTCACAATCAGTCAATCTAATCCCTATTAGCAAGTTAATTTTATACGTAGTATTGGCCTAAAAAGATATCCGCTTATCGGTCTTTTGACGATAACCAATTAATTAAAGAGAGCGAAAAGAGGCGGAAAGTCCGTCCTGTTCTTAATACTGTTTCCGACGTTAGTTGACCGAATAAAATCGCGCCAATTACAAACCGAAAAATAAGCGAGATTCAATCCGAAAGCAGAACGATATTCTCGTAAACAGGCTTTGCGCGATGTCGCAAAAAATCGATAGTCAGGATGAAATCTCGTTTTCGCGTTTTTCTTTTTTTTTTTTTATACGAATATCCTTTTCGCTTTAGTTATTCGCTTCCCGTCCCATCCCAACAGTTCCCGAAAGCCGGAAGTAAAGGTCAATCTCTACGATTGCGGAAATATTTCTGATATTATCAATTCAATCTCAATGTATCGCATGTCTGTGTGAATGCAGTGAATCTAGATTCCCAAATCCAACAAACGAACGCGAACGAATATCGCATTTAATAAATAGTACGAACAACGTTACGAAATTATTCATTCGCGCTTATTCCTTTGATCCAAGTCAAAGCGCAAAATCGACAACCAATTTTATTTCATAATGAATATACGAAAAGAACGATTTTATTGAAGCATCTAAAAATTTTGCCAGATGATTTGCTACGAGTGCTGATTTTCGTTTTCTCTTGTTCGACTTCACATCGAACAGTGTCGTCTTCTATTCCAATTTCTTTCTCTTCGTTTTCGTGTCGTGTATGTTTTATGCTTGTCGTGAATTTTTCCGTGTTAGTATGCCGATGACTATGAGCAAACATTTGGAATATTTTTATTGTAATCTAAATTTATATTTTATTGTAATTTGTTCTCACGTGTTGATATATCGTCTCTTTCACTTTTGTATTTTACTTTTATATCTCTCGGTTTTATAGCAATAGCATTGCTGCTGCTTCACTATTCGTGTATTTACTCGTATTGTTCGTATTTTTACTCTTGTGCATGTCTCAATATAATTTTGTGGATATAAGAATATAAATTAAATTAAATTAAAATTAAATTAAATGTTTATCTGAAAATAATTTTGTTGGACCACATCAAAATAATTATATAAAATATTCAATTTGATCGCTGAAATATCAAAAGTTTTTATATTATCATGTTTATCTTAATTAATTTGATTAGAATTACTTTCAGATCTGGCCCCAACAAAACTATTTATTCCGTGTATGGAAATTTCACAATAATTATCGCAAACCTCGCAATAATTATAAAAATAATATTTTGCTTTCAGTTAGACGTCAATCATAATGGATGAGATACGTTTTCAATACGTTATTATTACAGATTTTTCTATAATAACATTATATTGAGGAATTATTGTAAAAGAAAAATCTTTTATTCGCGCGATCTATTTATAAAAATCAGTCCACTTCCTCCATGGAAAAAGAAGAAATTTAAATCACTTCGTAAAATCGAATATGTTATTAATAATCCCTATCCCAGTCTTAAATAATCACCAACGAATGTCGAATCATAAAAAAAAAAACAAAAGAAAACAAAGAATTGATTTTACTTACCGACCGCCATATTATCGTCTCACCGTTAAATCCGCCGGTTTTAATCGGATGATTAAGTGATGCTTCAACGGTCATTGTAAATCTTTTATTGAATAATGTTCGCTCGCAAAAATTAGTAGAAAAACGTGAGAACGACGGCATATCCATTAAATGCGCAAAACGTACCGAAGACACTCGTTACGAATCGAAATACGCGGCGTTAATCCCATTGCCTTGGATCGGATCATCTGTTACATGCAGAAACGTAATACTAAAAGTTGGAATTAATAGAGGAACTGTCCTGGAACTAAGTTTTATTTAAAATGACAATATACTTGACAAGTATACCGAAACGGATGTATTCTCTTCGAGTTTCTGACAAGAACTGAATTGCTAATGCAAGACGGATTTTCGCTCAAGTTAAGATAGGTTGAATTTTAGTTAAAATAATAGCGGACAACGTGTTCTAATATCAAACGTAATGATTCATGCGGCTTTCCAAGAAGAAAAATAGCGTAAAAATTGGAAAATATATCAGTATGTCATACAATAATGATTTGGATAGGAGTAACAATAAAATTTGTATCAATCACGAGATAAAAGTTTGTCAGGATATTTGCTTTGGCATTATTTGTTGAGGCAAAAAAAAAGATTTAAAGAATATTAAAGTCTGACACTGGACACTTTAAAGGTTTTAAAGAATATTATCCGGACACTTTAAAGTTTATAGAGAATTTATAGAGAAAAAAAATTCTTAAACTTTAAATTGCGGCACGTGACACATTGTATCGCGTCGTGCCACATTGCACCAGGATACAAAAGAATCATGGCAGATATATTGTGTGTACAAGATTAATTCTTTTGTCACAACATAGTACTCTTATTACACCCTTGAAAATCGACAACTTTTAATATAATATATATGTATAAAGAATATACATATTTGATTAATACACCGAGACGATACAATGGTCATTTCGAGTCTCCATAAACGTGAGTTTTGTCCAGGATTTTTCGATTGATTTGATTTTCAAAAAATTTCACCCATTCCTCTCTCGTCCATACACCGCAACCCGAATGCGGTATGTTTTTATTCAATATCTTTTGGCACGCGTATTTTATTACGCATGTTTACGTTACGTCGGAGAGAAATTATTAAATTGAATATTATATCAAAACGACAGTATGATAATTAAAATTACTGTTGTATCTTGATATTGAAATTGTGAATATAAAAGTGGATGTACACATGTAATACATACAGGTAAGTTTTTTTTATTAAAATCTTTATTTTTTGTGTTTCGTAGCGTTCTCCTAAACAATAATTAACGTAACTTAACATGAAATTGTGGTGTGAGAGAGAAAGAGAGATAGAAAGAGAAAGAACGAGAGATAGAGAAAGGGAGAAAGAGAGAAAGTATAATGGTCGGTATATTAGAATTATGGAAACTTTCACTCAAATCAGTAATGATATACAAGTGGAGCAGATTTAAGATACGTAGAATAATCTTAAGATTATAGATATTGACAATGAGACGACGTGACCGACTAACAAAAATTACTCGGTCTCTCGATTGACCGATGAGATAATTACGCAAATAGGTACGCAGACAGAGTAAAGACATAAGTTAAACTTATGGGTTTAGACTCGGGGGGGAACATCATCGTTCACGTCGAGAAGATGACGGCGTTTCGAGATAAAGTTCTCGGAAAAGGTGAAGAGGACGATTACGTAAATTCGCGTGAAAAAAACTAAAGGAAATAAAGGAAATCTTAATCGCGATGTCTCTCGACGCGTACGACACACGTTGCTTCGATCCGGAAGTCTATACCCTCGTCAGAAAATGTTATAATATGAGTTAAGTTATATCATATACTTAACACGATACATAAAGTCGTTATATCCCGAGTATCAAATGGATACGATCAAATACCACGGTTCAAGCGAAACGGGAGATTATTACGTGTTGTTCTATCTTGATTAGAATGCGGATCTGTAACCAGGTACACGTGTGGATGTAATAATTTCCATATATGCTTGTATCATGCTTTACATATCAGTCACTTCAGTCGCTTATTTATGTGTTCCGCGTGAACCGGGTGCTCTCCCTTTAAACAAAAAGAAATAATTTGTCAATATATGAATCAATTATTCGCATTTACTTAACGCATAATAAACAGACATCCACATATCGTTGATGAAAATGTGGAAAATGAACAAATGAGTTGGAAGAGACTTTAGACGGCTATTTTTGCCACAAATACATCTCGGAACAGGATATATATATCCATCATTTCCATTTGGCATTAATGCCTCTGTAAGAAAATTCTTAAAAATCACAAATTTCATAATGTTTATATTTGTAAGTATATAGAAGGTATCCACATTCGATGCGGATGAATTGCTCGAGTATCTTTTATTCTCACGCTCACGGATCGAAGTATCGCGTAAAAAACACATTTTACAAATGTAATGTGGAAGAAAAGTACGTTCGAGTTCTACTTTTATCAGTCTTCAAATAGAACAATCACTTTGAATATATAACAAAAAAAGATTGACAACTACGTTACTGGATTCAATCTAAGGATTTGAGAAATGCAAGAGTTCACGGAGTTATGTCATAATCGACGTAATTAAAACTTCCACTTGTTCTTTAAGCGTATATTTTTTAATTCAAAATGTTAAAACAAATCTTGACATGTTGCAGAGTCATCGTTATCATTTTATTTTATTGTACACCTCTTATAGTATGTCGTTTATTAAATGTAATTCAAACTAATCGCGTGCAACATATCGATCTTATCGTTGAGACTCTGAAATTTTTGAAATCGTCACAAATCGGTATAAGTCGAATGTCATGTTGAGAGAACGAAGAATCTTAACGATATTTGTAGCAAAAATACACATGTCACATTGCTCCCCGCGATCATATACGCAATTACATTTAAAAAAAATAAAATAAAACTTAACAGACGACACGAAGTTTTGGCAAAGAACATAACGTTTAACGACGTCGAACAACCAGTACTCAGTGTCAAACGGGTGGCGGCTGTACAAATCGTAGTACCCACTGACAACGAGTTCGATGATCGTACACCTATACTTAAGAATCTATTATTTATATGACGATACTGCTCGTATGATTTGTTCACAAACGAGTTTAACTGTGTCGCGAACGAAACTAGACCCACGCTACTCGATCCAGTTATACCAATAATCATGTGTACAGATACATTGTACATGCGTTATTGCCAATAACATATGTACTGCTCCATCTCCATACGATTAATAGGCGTTCAGGTATATTCATTCATTCTGACGAAAACAAACGCGATGATTACGCAAACACGTATCCTAACGTAATATTATCAAAGTATAATGATACCTCTGAAATAAAAATCCCTGAAGTATAACAGTTTAACCGTTATAATTAGCTGTTTCAATTGACGATATTTACAACGAAAATGACAGATTTGACTCTTACGAAAATAATACAACTACTCGTAATCGATATTTGTGAGTGTTCGTGCTTGACATGTTTGACAAATGAACATGACGGTCGCGAAAACTACGCATTCGAAAGATTACGTAGGAAGATGAAGCATAAGGAACAGAATGCATATGTGTAATATGTGTACGTGTATATGTGTACATGCATGTATACGAATCGGGACATGTGTATCTATGTATGTATGTACGAAACAAATTGTATAAATGCTAGGAGTGCAATACAAATCTGGAAAATATTACCAATTAACGATTTGTAATTTGTAGTTTCAATAACTTAACTTCAATGCCGTATTGCAAAAATGCGTTTAACAATAACATATATATCTTTTTTACGAAAATGGGATCCTTTACGGGTGTAATTGATAGCAAAAATTAGATCCAATAAAGTTATAAACGTTATGATATTATTACATTATTAATTCTAATGGACAAATTCGCTTTAGAAGTGCTTACACAAACACTTTGGCCATTCACTGTTTACACAAATAACAGCTGATTATTACTGCGTAAGATCACTCGAGGAAATTTCCTATTGCGATTGTTAGAAGCTTTAACATTTGCACAAAACTAATAAATCTTCGAAAACAAATTTGCACATAAGAATTAATTCCATATGAGTAACGTTTAGCTTGCGCGCATCTCTTATTAAAAAAATTATATTTTGCATATATAATATACGATTTTATCCCTTATACATTGCGTCATAGAGAAAATAAACGAAGAATAGATTTTAGAATGGATTTGTAGATGAAACACACAACCAAAACTTTTTAAGCTTCTATTGCATTTATGCCCTCTGATAAAAAGACTCTAAAGAGTACCTGCATTATGTACATCTATACAATTCCTATATTCGATTGAATATTACACACAATAGGATATATATGTTATAGAAAGCTATCAGTCATCTCGACAATATTGCAAATAAACAAATAACATAAATGTTATAATATTTACTACATTGAAAAAGGAAACATATGCCACTACAGCATCTACATATTCGCATTTGACTCACTCTTATCTTCTATGCAAAAAGATAAACATTCCCATTAATTACTGCGTTGCATACGATACAAACATTGTAAGATCTATATTTCATCTAATCCAATAATGCTACGAAATATACTCTCTATTCGCCGAATGTAAAAAAATATCGCTTCTCGTGTCAAAAATTTGACTTGATTAATATTGATATAGACAAAATTAGTTTTACAAAACGTATTTAATTGCAAGTCCGAAAAGCTTGCAGAAACCTTTGTAACTTCTACTTCTCGTACTCTCTAGAGCCTCCCGATGTAAAGCTATACTTTTATAATCTATTTTTTAGCCACTTTACTTCCATATAATTCTTTTAAGTAATGTCTTGGTTGTGTGCTCATATAATTTGGATATCATTTATAAGATATATGGCAAAAGATTTCAAGAATAGAAGTGATATACACTTTTTGCAAGAGATGCATTTTCACTATCATTATTTTTACTTGTTTACGGCATACATCAGTGAAGATATATAGCCTTGTTATTGAAATGCACAGAAGATAATCATTGCTTCAAAAAAAATAAAGAAAGTGGATGATAAAACAATGTAATAAAAAAACTTAAAAATCTTTTCAACATTATATCTAAAACGTTGATCATAATTTCCTCCCGTTAAAAAGACAGGAAGCACGATTGCGTTAACGCATCTTTCAGAATAATTATTCTGTTTCGCACGTACAACATATGTATCTTTAAGGAGTACATAAAATTACTATACCGTGAGTATAGTAATAACTGGGATTCTTGAAACATAAGAATCAATTCCAAGCGAAATGATACCTTACATTTATCGATACAATTCGCGATCTAACTACTAATGACCGAAAAAAAAGAATATGGATACATAACCAAAGTGTACGGCAGCTTTTTTAGCCATCAAAAGAATTATATGTTAGATTAATTCAATATCTTAAGTTACCTAGTTACTGTTGTGTTTGTGTATCAAATCATTATCATAACAATTACTTGTTGGGCACACACACCGAATTAAAGTCTCAGCTGTAAGCATGTATCATATTTTTCGGTACTTTTCGATAATCGGTGTTCATTAGCCATCCTCCTTTGGGGGTGTGAACCAACCTATTCAAACGTGAAACAATGTTTTACAAGTGATATAACACAATAGCATAGCCAATCTATTTTTTAAATAAACTCTTACCATTTTTTTCATGTATTTGTACAAGAGACTTGAATGACTGTTGGGCACGTGCCAAACTATATTGACCTTGTCCGCCACATACTTTGCCAGCGCCGCCTGATCCTTGGAACTGTATACGCGCTTTCCCCTTTACTAATGTCGCTGAAATCTGCATTATAACAGCTTCTACCGTGTATGCCGAACTCCATCCCTGTTTTGTGAGAAGTTCCATGCAGATGGCACCCCCAACGAGAACGTATCCACCAGATATGATGGGATGTACGACTCTTACAAATGGAGGTTCAAACGGATAAGTTTCCTACAATAATAAAAATTTAGAAAATATCTAAAAGTTTATATAATATTGCTTAAGAGAGATGCTAGTTTATACATACATTTTATTTGAAACCTAAATCTTAGTTTACTCTTACACAAGTTTACTCTTACACAAGATACCTTGAAAAGCATGTTGAGAAGAATACTGTCTTTGCCTTCTTTCTCTTTCAAAAGAATGAGATCGCTATGAAGTGGTGAATCAGGGTCTACACACATCAACCTGATATTCCATTCATATAAACTGTCATTTACTAGTTCTATGCTATACATTCCTAGGAAAAAAAGCAAAAATACATATATAGCATGTTTCAAAAAAGAATTTAAAAAATTAAATATTTAAATATTTCTCGAGTTAAAAAAAAAGACCGTATAAATATGTGTCCGGAAATGCTTCATATGATTCCTGAAAGATATGGCCAGTTCTTTTCTTGTAAATTAAAATTTCGAATTTTAAGAATATTTAGTATTAATCATATTCTGAGATAATTTTCATCTCAAAAAAAAGTGAGAGGTGACTATCCTTATTCCGATATCCTTATTCTGATTATAACTTTTTAATCCTTATAATTAAATTTGTTCATTGTTATAATTTTTCGATTTTTTTCTTTTTATTTAAAAAAAGGTTCTGTCTGAAATACAGGATCGTTTTCAAAATCTTTCAATATTCTCTAACTTCAAAATAAGGCATTTTCGGATACATGTTTGTATTTTTCTTGTCTTGATCGGAGAAATCTTTTCTTAAATCTTTTTAATATCTTGAAGTTCCTGTACATATACAAAACATATATAATTATCGATTATTAAAATTTAGCTTATTTAAGAGTGCAAAATTTTTAAATGTACCTTTTTTAAAGCTGTCACTTCGGTATATATCACGTAGTTCTTTCATGAGTCTATCAGTAGCTTGTACACTTCCACAAACAGATCCTTTTAAATAATCTTGTCTCTGATTCTGTCTCAACCTTTCCAACGTTGCAAGATGTTCCAAGTCCATCTCTTCACTCTGCAGGAAAGAAATGTAAACATAAAAAAATGTATAACAAAAATAATAAACTAAATACTAAATAAATTAGAAGTAAACTAGTGAGATCATCTCTCCCTTTACCTTATTCTTAGAATTAGCATCTCCTTCGTCCATGTCTAAGTGGAGGTCTTCTTCAGTTTCGCTCTCTTCATCTTCGTCGATATCATCTAGGTCTTCCGCGTCCATCCTCTGTGCCACAGCTTCGTTCGACCCTCCTAAACGTAAGGGATCTAAGGCGGTTCTCAGCCTTTCGACATCCGGTGGTTCCGGTAACGAATGTAGTCGACATAACTCTTTCAAAAGGATGCCGACTTGGTTGATTACGTGATTATCACGACCCGTTGTGTTACTTAAAATTTGTACAGCGTTCGTAACACTAGTCTCCTCGGATTCGGCGAACCAAACAGGCGGCGTTGAAGGATAGGTCTCCTGCGTAAACATCGTTAATTATTGACATAATGATTTCCTGATGTAGCGTTGCAATAATTTATACACGCGGCACAATACGCACTGTTTTGCTGTGTTGAGAACAACGAGGGGGAACAAACAAGAGGTAAGGAATCTTTAGCAGAACCTCTTGCATACTCGATACGCAAACGCCGTACAGTCATTTAAGCACGCAAAAGGAAAACGTAAAGTAAAAACAAAAAAAGGAAGAAAACATAATATTTGCGCGCACGACATGCACATCGACATCTATCGCGTAATCAGTAAATGATGCACGAATGATGCTGAAATATTCACGTTCGCAATCGTAAAAGCGGCGATGCGTGTTGCAAAAGGATTGCGTTCGATTGCGACGTCCCTCGTGCATCGCGCATACATACACTTTTATACACACACACACACACACACACACACACACACACACACACACACACACACACACAGAGAGAGAGAGAGAGAGAGAGAGAGAGAGAGAGAGAGAGAGAGAGAGAGAGAGAGAGAGAGAGAGAGAGAGAGAGAAAAGAGAGAGAGAGGAGAGCGCGCGCGCGCGCACACTTGTGCGTGTTGCCACTTACTGTGATATTGGCGTGTATTTCGTACTTCTTCCCATTTTTACCGACGAATCTGCAGCTGAGTTCGTCCACGCTCGCAGACATTATCTGAAACCTCTCATGGCTCTTGGGGAAGACGGATTCGAGCGTTTTGATTTCCTGCTTGAGGGTGTTCAGACAAGCCATTTGCGGTGGCGACGTACGGGCGGAGTTGCGCGTATTATGGCCGGCACAGACGGCTTTTTAACCCCGTCCGAACGAGACACGGACGAAATAACCGTAGTGACAGAGATAAGACAATTCTCGATGTCTATCCCGACAAAATGGCGACTGCGACTAGCCGATTCGGCTGGTCCCGTACGAGCTCGTTACATTTCGCGTGCCGCGATCCCGCGCGCCATCTCGCCGCCGTATCTCGAACTACCCTCCGCCGATGACGTACTTCCGGTCACGGATGCGGCTCAGGGTTACAGTCAACGCGCGCGAATGAATTTAAAAACCCGGAGCTTCGTCGCTTTTTGATTCTTGAATTAACGTTTCCCGATTCTAACTGAATCATTTCACTGCTCAAATTACACTTATCAAAGAAATCAATATAACAGAGAAGATAAAAATTCGAGAGAATCTCGGAATTTTGGAAAAGGAAGCGCGGGGAATTATTTTTGTTAAAAAAAAAATATATACAGTTACATAATTTAATATATTTATATATTTATAATATATTTATATTTATAAATTTTAATATTAAATTTTTTGATACAATACATAATTTGATGTATTACAACACACACGCATGTGCATTCACACATGCAGGATGCAGGACGCGAAAAAAAAATAACTGATCTCCATTTCTTTTGATTGTATCATGAATTTATTTTGAAATATCTAAGTAATTCTATTTCCTTATGCTTTATATATACAAATGATATATAGCATGGTGAAATATAATACAGTTTTAACAAATGTTAACAAATTAAATGTGCTAATCTATTAGAAATTATTATACTCTAAAACTCTAATCGTCTTGGACTGGATCGATCTCTTGCGTTTACCTTGCGAAAAATAAAAACTACGCGACACGATATTACGCAGCAATAAAATAAAACAGTATATTGTTCTCGTTAAAATAATCCAAAAAGCTTCACAAATCTCATCAGCCTCGTTTTGTTGCACCAAAAGATTTACAACGTAAAATCAATGTGTACTTTCCTTTGTTATCGCATATATATGCATGCGACTCTACAAATTTCTCTTGTAAGTTAGCATTGTTCGATATAATTACATCAAGCTTGCTCGTTATACATGAGAGAAAAATAAAGTATAAAACAAAAAAGTGACACATATTATTTTGGACGATAAATCCGCTTGGCCATAAATCTGCCGTTACGTATGTAACATAACGCAGACTATTATAAAAACAAAAAATAGATAACATAAAGTTATGCGTCGATTAAAACAAAATGTCACCGCTCACAAAAATGTTTTTATTTAAATAATAACTGCCAATAGTTTTTATCTTCGAATTTTTTCTTACAGTTTTTTATGAACCATCTCTTCTTTTTGTAACAGTAAGATATACCAGTCCAAAGTCTCTCGATAGCGCAATACAAGGTGTAGGTGTCTTCCAAATTGTAATACCACAAAATATCGCTTCATAAATAATGAAATACGCTATATTCACTACGACAGAATATCCAAACAATTTCTGTCTTACGTGGGAGATTCACGTTCGACGTGAATCAGTCGTTATAATTATCTCTGTATATACACTTATTGTTTGCCATGTACACTTTTTTAGAGCTTTTTTGTAAAATTAATGACGAAAGTATATATATATATATATATATATTATATATATATATATATATTATA